AAAAAAAAGCTTGAACATGTGGAGCTTATGGGTGGTCAGGAAGCTCTGGTTAGTACACAGGCATTCCACGCGAGGTGGAGCACAGCATTAACTTGGCAGCCAGCCCCAGCTATGAGCAAGGGTCCAGTTGGATATTCTTCAAAACCCACTTTTTATTACCCCTGGCTTCGTCCATGTTATTGCTATACCAGGAACTCAATTTTCTGGGTATCACAGCTACACCTAAAACAGCTCCTGGTCCCTTCTTCGGGTCAAAGTGTGGCACAAGTGTACCTGTGGACCCCACGACTGTCCCTAGCTCAGGGGAAGCTGGGGAAGTCAGTATCTAACATTTTCAGCTACTCTAAGTGGAAGTAGTTATTGCCCCTCATCAAGGCTCAGAAAGTAGGGGATTCTCCAAACATTGGAAGGGGTTCAGATGCCAGGCAGCCAAACCCAATAACAAAGGTCCAGTACCACCCACAACAAAGAAAGACACCATCAGCACAGAACAGTGAAAGATGTTAATACCCTATAGGCTTGTTACATATCTGTTGTTTTATACATTGAGATAAAAATGCAGACACCAAGAGGCTCTGTAAAGAGTGCTAGCTGCCTTTGAGGTTGTTACTGAGACAGCACCACATTCCCAGCATCTCCTACAGCTAGAGCTTGACTTTCACAGGTGTAATGTGAAGACTGGCCAGCACCTTCCCTTTCTCACTTAGCATCAGAACCCCTTTGCTGTCAGGGGTGGTCATGTGCCTAGGCTCCATCACAGCAAAGGGGGTCGTTAGAGGTCAGCAGAAGTCACTGGGTGAGACTTCCAGGAAAGCTCTTCACTGGTGCTTTTTTGCCACCTCTTCAACCCCATTCCTCCCTTTTTCCCTGCCCAGAACACAGAGGTGGCGTCTAGACTACCAGCAGCCATTTGTTGATCATGTAACAACCCTAATGTTGGAAGCCATTTGTCAAGAACAGAACAGAAATACAGAAAGCCTCCGTGTCTGATGCCCTGTTCTACCATCCCAGGTTGACCTAACACTGCTTCTTTTAGGGAATGGGAAAAAATACACCTGGTTTTTTTGTTGTTGTTTTGGGGTTTTGTTTGTGTCTTTTTGAGACAAGTTCTCGCTATGCAGCTCAGGCTGGCCTTGCGCTTACTTTGTAACCGAGGCTGGCCTCAAACTCACAACAATCCTCCTGCCTCAGCCTCCTGAGTGCTGGGATTATAGGCATGTGCCACCACGCCTGACTGGTTTTTTTTTTTTAAGCCATCAAACTTACGACTTTGACTCTTATTACCAGCTGGCCTCTGTGGCTTCACAGATGCTTCTGTCCTAACAGTCCAAGATGTCATTGTCCTCCTGTGCATAGGAAAATCCCAGGAATGCACTTGAAGCACCAGAGCTGCTGGCCACAGTATCAGGGGTACAGCCGATGGACCTGGACACAGCTTCCTGGGTGAACTCTGGGTCAAAGTGTTTCAGGTCAGCAGGTCCTGCCTGTCAACATAAGCCAATGATGAGAAAGGAGCATGAGGATCAGTGCTGTCAAAGGAGTGCAAAGCTATAGAGACAGACGTTGGGCTATCTCTGTAAGTGCCTCCTGGGCATCCATACTTAATTATCACTTTCCCATGCATTTACATCAATCATTTTCTGTCGTAACTCCATGTGGTTGATTCCTCCAACATCCTGGCTCCCTGCCTACCCCACACCAACCTTTGGCTGGCATATACTTCTTGACTGCTCACCAGGCACTGTTCGTGGCACTGGGAGTGTAGGAGAACGACACAGAACGAGCCTCTGCTTTCAAGGAGCTCACATTTATGTAGGTGGTAGTAAGACTGATAATCAGCACATATTCAAGTAGATAATTTCCTAGATAGTGGTGGTGAACCTATGGCGTACAGGCTGCAGTGGGCTGTTTGTTACCACTGAAAGCTCTGAAAGTTTCACTACCACTGTCTAGATGAAGAAAATAAAATATATGTGACTGTTCTGATTTGTCAGCTTCACTGGATTAAACACCTAGAAGCACACTCCTGAGTGTGTCTGGGTAGATCATAGAGGAATGACTTGGGTACTTCAAGTGGTCCCTAGCCAATTCCTCTCCAGCATTATTCCTTTGTTTTGCTTTCCAGCTACCGAGAACTAAGCATTTCTGCTCCCTCTGCCATGAGGATTCTGTCTCGGAGTCTGCCAACCACGTACTGAATCTCCTGAAACCACGAGCTACCACAATTAAATCTTTCCTCCTTTATGTTGTGGGTGTCGGGAATTGTGTCTCAGCAACAGGAAGGCTAACACATTGGGATAATGTGGTAGAGAGGGACTAGTGCTGCTTTAGCTACTTTGGAAGAAAGACTGTGTGGGAAATTGAAAAAGTGATAACAGATTCTTCATTTCCCATCTTTGTTTTATTTATTTATTTATTTGGTAGTATGGGGAATTGAACTCATGATCTCATGCTTGCCAGACAGGTGCTATGCCGCTGACCTATATATCCCTGGCCCCCCATCTTCATTTTATTAATTTTTTTTTTGGTACTGGGAATTGAACTCAGGACCTTGCACCTGCCAGGTAGGCACTTGTGCCTCTGAGCTATATCCCGGCCCTTCATTTCCCAATCTTTTTTTTTTTTTGACTTTTTGAGACAGGGTCTCGCTATGTAGTTCAGGCCGGCCTTGAGCTCACTTTGTAGCCCACACTGGTCTCAAACTCACAACGATTCTCCTGCCTCAGCCTCCCAAGTGCTGGGATTACAGGTGTGCACCACCATGCCTGGCCTCTTCATCTTTTTAAATGTGGGTTAGCTGTGTGACTTAGTTAGGTCAAAGGGAAACTGACAAATGTGATTCAAGCTAGGCAAGCACTGTATCATGGAGACACAGCCCTGGCCCAAATAGAAGCTTAAAAAATGCACATTGGAAGTTGTCTCTTTTGCTGTGCTTGGAACCCTGAGGCCACTCTGAGTTAGCCCAGACCAGCCTGCTGGAGGATGAGAGGCCTTAGGAAGGATATCCCTGGTGATCTGGCTGCCCGCCAACTCCCAGACATGAGTGAAGCAATTCTAGACCATCAGCTGCTGGCTGCTCCACCACTGACCACAGACCTGAGGGAGCTCTGTAGAAAACAGCTGGCCTGTGCATAGGAAAGGAAACCACTACGAGTGAAGAAACAACTTACAGAATGGGGAAAATTTTTTGCCAGGTCCTCCTCGGACAAAGGACTAATATGTAAAACATATAAGGAACTAAAAAAATCAGACCCCCCCCAAATTTAGAGACCCAATACAAAAATGGGCATCTGAAATGACTAGATACTTTGCAGATGAAGAAGTAAAAATGGCCAATAAATCATGAAAAAATGTTCAACACTGCTGGCCATTTGAAAAATGCAGAGTAAAACAACACTGAGATTCCATCTCACTCCAGAAAGAACGGCTACCGTCAATAAATCAACCAATAACAGGGGCTGGGGATTTAGCTCAGCGGCAAAAGTGCCTGCCTGGCATGTGCAAGGTTGTAAGGTCGGTTCCCGGTACGGGGGGGGCGGGGGGGAGAGAGAAAAAAAAAAAAGAAATCAACCAATAACAAATGCTGGCAAGGCTGTGGGGAGAAAGGAACCCTTCCCCTTCCCCAAAAAGTTAAAGACATCATACCACAGTGATGTATGCATACCCACACTTACAGCAGCGCAATTTATAATAGCTAAATCTTGGAAACAGCCTATGTGTCCATCAACAGAGGAAGGACTTAAAAATGTGGTGTTTATATACAGTGAGGCACTACTCTGCCATAAAAGGATAAACTTGAGTCATTCGTAGGAAAATGGATGCTCCTTGAGGCCATTATGGTAAGTAAAGTAACTCAGACAGACAAGCTTAAATATCACATGGTTTCTCTTACTTGAAAAACTCGTACTGGGAACCGAACTCAGGACCTTCTGCTTGTGAGGAAGGCACTTACGCCGCCGAGCTACATCCTCAGCCCTGAAAAACTTAATATATATATTGAGTACAGGCTGGGGATTTAGCTCAGCCGCACAGTGCCTGCCTGGCAAGCACGAGGTCATGAGTTCAATTCCCGGTACCAGAAAAAAAAAAACATGAAAAAACCAAAAACAAACAAATATATTGAGTACAAAATAAAAGACAATGGGAAAAAAAGAGAAAGAAAAATGTATAGTAATCCAGTGTAGACAATGTATCTAAAAGTGTACTTTGACTTAGTAAAATTGTCTTACATGTTTTATATGCTCTTTGAACTATTAGTCTTGTTTTATATATATATATGTGATAATTAACTTTATAAGGTCTTATAAGATAAATGAATGAATCCAACGCTGGAAAAATACAAGAGGGGTGGCTTGGGGCGGGGAGGGAAATAAAATGTGTATGTACATGTACCAATCTCCTATAGTGAATGTAATCATTATGTACTGAAAACATGTACTAATAAAAGTAAAAAAATAATTCCTGGCCTGGCTCAAACTGAAGAAACCACCCAGCTGGCCCACAAATTCTGAACAGGTAAAAGGCTGTTTTTTGAGGTGACCTGGTATTGGGATGACTTGTTACAAAGCACAACTAATCAATACAGTCTTTTTGTAAAGAAGACCCGGTCTAGGGAGATGATAATGTCCCCTGGGTTGCAGGATGGAAGGAGATGAGCAAGCAGAAGGGTCCGCAGAACAGCTTTAGCATGCAGTTCTTGGGCTATGGAACCAAACAGGCTCTGACTTCCACTTTCTCAAAAAGGCCACAGGGCCCAGGGTGTAATCCAGAGCTCAAAATTCCAGGACCAGAATGTGAATCCTAGTCCTAGCCCCAGGCATTGTTAGATATGTTGCCCTAGACAAGCATCTATTTTCTGTTTTTATTTGTTTGTTTGGTTAGTTTTTCACAAAAAAATAAAATTTGATGCTAAAGAAACTTACTCAAGGTCCCACAAGTGGTAGGTAGCAGAACCAGAATCCCATCCTCAGCATGTGTCACTCTAAAGTCAGTGTACTGCTGTATTATAATGCATCCTTCTTAGAGTGCGAATGTAATGCTGGGGATGGAACTCAGGGCCACACACATGCACAGCGCATATTCTACCACTGAGCCAGACCCAAGTCCCCCTTTCCGAGGATTCTGTATTTTCTTCTTTCTCTAGGCTGCATGTTTGACATTATCCTCACTGTCTTTTACATTCCCAAGAAAAAAGGCTGGGACATAGCTCAGTGGTAGAGTGCTTGTGTAGCACTTGCAAGCCCCTGGGATTGATCCCCAGCACCACAAAGTAAAATTAAATTAAATTAAATTAAATTTCAGAAGAAGAAACTTTTCAGATATCTGGACTGAATGCATCTTATTTGTTAGGACTCCGGTGCTCCACAGAGCTCCGTGCCACGTTCCTGGAACCCCAGCTACTCAGGAAGCTGGGGGAGGAGGACCATAAGTTTGAGATCAGCCTAGGTAACTTAGCAAGACCCTGTCTCAAAATTTAAATTAAAAGGCCTGAGGATGTAATTCAGTACTCTCTGGGTTCAATCCCCAGCGTATACTGCAAAAATGAAAAGGGTGGTGGTGGTAGTAGTGCTTCTAGTACTAAAGACACATGGAAGTAAAAATATTTTGCAAGGTCAGGGGAAATAGGTCAGTGTGAAGGCCCTTGGTTCAATTCCTAGGGGGCTGGGGAGGGGAGGGGAAAGAGAGAGGAAGAGAAGAAAGGAAGGAAGGAAGGAAGGTCAGGTGGGGCTATATAATGAGTTCAAGGCCAGCAATCTAGATGTGGTTTAAGGTATATGGGAAGATATACATAGACTGTATGCAAATACTATGCCATTTGATATAACGGATTTGAGCATCCCACTGAGACCACGGGACAACTGTAGATAGATGCGTGCATATATACATATACACAAAAAAGTATGATTTAACTATGTAAAAAAAAAGAAACATATAGAAAAAAGACTGGAAGGAAGCCACCAAGTGGTTTCCCTTAGGTAATGAGATACTAACCACTTCCTCATTGTTGCTTCCAACTTCTCTGTTTTACACACTTTGTACAAGGCACACATGTCATTTTATTATCAGGAAAAGGTCTGAAAATATCTCTATAGGAGGTGGCTCTGCCTGGGAGTGTTATATGACGCAGAGCACTGTAAAATCCACGAAGGGCTTTGCCACCAGGGTTATGGGACTGAAGCTGAGGGAGGGAGTGGCAGGATGGCTCATTCCTCGGGGCTGCGTCAGCTTCTGACTCAGGGGCCATGGACAAATCATGGAGACTCTTAGTCAAGTTTCCCCTCCTGTAGAAAGAGAGTTGGCCCAGGTTCCCTCTAAGCTCCCACTATCCCTGGAACTCCAGAACTAAACATCTAGAATTCTAGAGCCTCTTACCACATTTGGATTGAAGGGTGGAGTCAGCCTCTTGTGGTATAAGTCATCCCAGTTTATGGGACTGAAGAAGATATGGTTCTTTATCTCGAGCTGTAGGAAGAAGGTGCTGATCAGAAATCATCATCCCCATCAGAGCTCCCCCTACCCCATGCCTCCAGAGTCCTGACACTGCCAGCCAACTGGCCGTCACCTGGACAGTCCCTCGTAGCTCTTGCTGGTGTCCTGGGACAAAACAGCATTCTGCAGCCAGGCCCCTCACCTGTGCTGCCATCCAGGACCCAGATCCTTCCCTCTAGCCGTGGTTTATTCCACAACTAGACTGAGACCCCAATCTAAGCACCGCACTGTGCTAGGCTCTGACAGCTTGTCAGTGAACAACACCTTGGAAACAGTTCTGAGAGGAGCTTCATCCCACTCTCCACCAGTGCATTTCAAGTCTTCCAGAATGCAATCCATGAGCCAGGGGTGGTGGTGCATGCCTGTAACCCTAGCTCTCCAGGGGCTGAAGCAGGAGGATGGCTGAAAGTTTGAGGTCAGTCGGGGCTACATAGTGAGTTCAAGGCCAGCCTGAACTACACAGCAAAACCTTGTCTCAAAAAACAAACAAAACAAAACAAAACAAAACAGAATACAATCTAGAGAAATTAGCCAAATCAACTCATTAAGGGAGGTCTGAGAAATAGCACCCTGGGAAAAGCTGCAGATTCTCAGAGACCCAGGAATTGGGACTCTGCCCTGGGCGTGATCTACCACTTCTTTCTTAATCAAAATCAGCATTAATACTGACTTCTCCTCCCAGCTTTCTGTGCTAGAACTACCACCTGGGTGAGTTAAAAAGCCAAGTCCAAAATATCTCCAGAATACCCAAGAAATTGGTAACTCAGGAGCTGGGTGGGCAAAGTAAATTTTTCTAGATATTCTTTGTACCCTTTCAATTTTGATCTCCATGAATGTATAACTTATCTTAAAAGTCATACCTATTCCCTTTGGAGGGAGGGGTCCTATCTGCATGGAAGCGCCCATTTTTTTTTTTTTTTTTTGTTTTTTTCCAGTACCGGGAACCGAACTCACGACCTTGCGCTTGCCAGGCAGGCGCTTTTGCCGCTGAGCTAAATCCCCAGCCCCCAGCACCCATTTATATAAGACAAATTTTAATAGTCATGAAAAATC